AACACCAGGAGGACTTCGTAGCTTTCCATCATTCGCTTAAGTTGGATAGAACTTGAGGCTTCAAATAAACACGATATGAATGAACACACAAAAGCTGCTTATATTTTTTTAGATTTCAATAGAGTAGAGATAATCTTGGAGAAAAATCTATATATTTACAGATGATTTTTTAAGACTCCGTCTTAATCATACTGTTACATTCAAGTAGTTCTGGGAGACTCAAATTATGGAACAATTCAAAGTCACTATCAATGTGTCTTTCAACTGAATCTTTTAACAATGATTGACTTCAATAAAGGAATTCAGAATAAGTTTCATTAGCCATGTGCATTAACCAGCCCACATTAATCAACTCTATAGAACGGTTGGATACTAGCACTAATACAATTCATCGTCAACGCTCATCATATTACATCTTAGCAATTGAACAAGCGTAAATAATGCCAGCATAGTTGGCACTACGATGCCCTAGAACTTCACATTTCTTCCTTTTTATTGTAAAATGTTTCATAGCTAGTCGTTCCTCACATGTAACTCAGTATAACTCATATAATAGATGATGTCTCTGTCTTTTTCCTGAAGCAGTTTGCAACACCGTTGCAAGGACTATCCTAGGCTAAGATAGTTAAGGTGTTAAGATCTTGTTTGGGAAAGCTTAAAAAGCTACTAAAAAGTTGATAACATTCAACAATTAATTTTAACCATACATTGATCCACAATTAATATCCACTTTTTCACAACTCATTTCGTTGGGATCCACCAATCCTTTTTGTTAAAATCAGCTTTTTAGCTCTCCCAAATAAACACTAAGTCCTTATTCCTTATAATGAGTGCAATAATAAGCAAGCAGGAATCTAAAAATAACAAAGCAAACATAGAGCTTATAGTGCTCGCTATCACAAGTTCTAATGAAAATCGGCAAGAAGTTCACAATGGAGAGATCTCACACCTCTCAATCTGCGTATCTCTAATAAACAGCACCCTCGAGTAGCTATAGATATCATGGAATACTGGTCAATCCACAATCGACGGGATAAGTGAACACAGTATAATTATGGGTCACATGGTGCAACATATTCACCTATCAATGAGCCATAACCCCAAAATTCATTGACTCACAATCCATTACCCTGCAACCAATTTATTTCCCAATAACCTTAATTTTTCCTTCCACAAAATAAAACCAAATATTTTCTTTCTTCCCCAGTTAAAACAAATGCGCAATGATCTAAGCATACTGCTCCAACATATAATTTTAACCCTAAACTTGATTCCAGAATCCCAATACTAATAATAATGGAAAGAAGAAAATAATTAACCAGTCAAACAACATTGCGCTGTTGCGCATTAAAAATTCTCCAACTATATCTCATTCAAATGGACTCTACTGATTAAGAAGTAATGGAATTCGAACTCTACTATTATAGTCCAAGCAGAGATCTATCACTTCTGTCCAAACAAGAATCTATCGACACTAGACCTTCAAGAACTATAACAGATTCTGCTACAAGCTCTTAAGGTACGCCATAGTATAAATAAGATGTATTACACTCGCAAATTTCCCAGTTTCGACTATATTTAGAATCATATGTGTTAGTTTGATGCCCATTCTTCGAGTAATGTTTTATAAAATCACATTATGAATTTACGTTAGTTTATTTGCGTGTTATAATTTGAAGCGATTATCTAAGGTACCATGATCATAGAGGATGTCACAAATTGTATACTCGATGGATCGAGTATAGTAAGACACAATTTGTGATATGATCAAAAATTATGTCATTCACAATCGGTTTCATAAAGTTGGACGCTTTATGTTGATAAGATTGTATTATTCTTATTAAGATTTGTCTAGATCTTGAAATAGGAATAATAATGTATTTTGATGCACATTGAATGGGACCGCGTAGATGACTCATTTGTGACCGTTTGAAATGAAACTCTACTTGATTATCAAACAGGTCACCTAAATCTTGAGTGAGTAATGTACCTTTGATTGCTAGTACAAGTTTTTTGAGATATCAATGAGTGAAGTCTTAAATAGAAGATTGATCTCAGTGCTTTGGTAATCGGGTTAAAACAATTAGAGATCATATACTAACAATATTGGAGAAATTGTGATGAATTTGAAGGTAGAAATGGTTTGAATTATTATTTTCTAATTTAAATTCTAATTTTTATGAATTTATATTTATTTTTCACCTGTTATGCAGCAATGAATTTGAAGGTGGAAGAACTAGTTAAAAGACGAATTACAGGGAGATTTCTTAGAAAATTAGAGGAGATGAAGAAAGGGTTTAAACGTCGTCGTCAGTATCGCTTGCATTGTCGTTATCATGTGATTTTCCCGTGATTATGGTAAGAACTCAAAAGCGTGTCACCTTAACTATGTTTTAAAAGAAAAGCGTGCATTGTTGAAGAGTGTCCAATTTAATTCATTCTTCGTTGAAAATTCAATGAAGTACTCAATTTTTTTACTTTTTCCAAACATGTATAATTATTTTAATTATTTATTGTATCTGAAATAATTTACCACTATTTCATTGAATTGTAAATTTATAATGAATCAAGAGGCAAGTTATAGATATAGATCATGTAAAATTCAACAATAAAAAACTTAGTTGAAACTTATTCTAACTTATGTAGACATATAGTGAATTGACTTCACTCAATAGAATTGATTTGAACTCGATAGAGAGAGAGAGAGAGAGAGAGGTAAGTCAATTAAATTAGTGAATTCGATATAAAAGGAAAAAAATATGATGAGATCACGATTCCTAACACTTCTCCTATCTATGTTAAAAATCCTAGTTCTCAATTGCGCATTTTTAATTGCTTTCTTAAATTCATAATTTAATATTATAATTATAATTAAAATCAATCTTTTTTAATTGTTTTTACCCGAAATTGAAGTTACGATAAATAGTCCTTGTAAAATAATAATATTTAAACTCTTAGGTCCATTTCATTTTTTTTGTTCATAATATCCACACCTGTGATTAAATTAAGCAAGTCGTTAGTATTGCCTTTACCTGTGTGTTGATTGATAATCTCACGAATTTTTCTCGATAATTACTTTGGGATGGATGATAAAGTTTTGCCTGCTGTGCCTGACGCATATAATGTTTGGAGAATATTTTTGATGCTTGGAGCTCTTCACCGAGTTCACTCATTTTACGGGAGTATGAAGATGCAGGAAACAGGGCGATATCACCTCTCATAAAGGGTTATGCTAAACAAGCAGCTACTGATATGGGCAGAGTTCTTGACATGGAAATTCAAGCTGATCAAGAAAACTTAGCACAATTCAAGGCCACTAAAGAATACCCTTTGTTGTCAAAGGAGTTGTCCAAACTTTGAACGAACAGAGGTCGAGGCCGGGATGCCATGGCCAACACCTAGCTGGTACAATGACTACATGGTTCTTGTTAAACATAGCTTTCTATAGCCAAAACCTGACTCAAAAGGAAATATTTCCTACAATGAGACTCACAAGCCAACCAGCCAAAATGAACGCTCTGCACTAAATGTCCGAGATTTTGAGTGCAATGTTCTTAATTACCTTTCTGGGGACCCTCCCCCCAATATATTACAAAGGCAAAATAGGCAGATTCTGAATCCAAATAATGGAGTTTTTAATGGTGTCCAGATTCATGCTTATTATCGGAATACATTAGGATTACCTAACAACCGTAAATCACAAATGGGTTTTTATGGGGTGACATGTTTCTTTGCCAATTTTGGCCACAACAGTACCACATTTGTTCTGCCGGCCGAGCTATTCCCAATGAGAGTTAGATCCACTTGCCACATGCAGAGTGCAGCATCGGGGAAAAGGCAGGGGCCATGATTGGTACATTTGGACTGCAAAACTATACGCAAGATAGAAATTTAAACAAAATTAAGAAGGCCACGATACTTTTTGCCTTCACAAACCTGGTGGGATTCTTCTGCACTTCACTAGTAGGGAAACCGTGGGACTGTCTCTTGAGGAGATATCAGGAGAGGATGGCAGTCTGAAGGAGACACGGATGCCACTCAGTCAGTCGGACACCGACTACAGAGGAGTTATCGGCTGCCATGCAACCTCACATGGTGCCACATGATTCTGCAAATGGTGCTACCGTGATTGTTATGGCAAATGTTTGTTCAATTGCAAAACCAATACTTCTTGTTATAATCTACAAATGGCCACAGAATTAGAAGGCGAAGTTGCAAAAAAATTAATGGGACATTACCCACTTGTCAATGTTTTTCGTGCACTTTATAGCAAACATGTCTTAATCAACTTCTTTCCCCTTTTCGATTTTCTGATGACAAGTGATAATATAATGATTGGAAATATGAAACTTTGTTCACGACACGATAAAACCAAGAATGATGCAAGTCTTATGAGCTTAAACTAGCCTATTTGACTAGGTGTGCCTCCCAGCCGGAACAAAAGCAACATAAACGTTCCATGACTCGATTGAGCAAAGAAGCCCATTCCGTGAGACTTCTAATTCAATTTTGTTTTCTGCTGTGGATGCACAGCAAAGGACATGCGACTCTATGCAACACTGGCCACAAGAGAGTGAGATTAATTATAAACTTTACTCCATGTCTGATTGCATGCTCATCAGGCAGTTTACTTGAAGAAGCCTGCTACACGGACAGGGCCGCCATTTAGAAAAACCCTTACTTGAATCAGCCTTCAACTAACAGAAGAACATGGAAAAGTCAAATGAGCAAATCAAGTAATCTAGTTCGTGGTCATGCAGTTTATTAATTCACCAAGACAGGATGGCATTGGTATCGTCATTGAGCGAAGATCTATTTACTGAGACATGAGACACGTCCTGCAAAGAAATGTGTATGAATAAAGAAGATAATCCCAATGATAACGTAAAATTTGCTCTCTATTCAGAAATCGCTAGAGTTCTTTGAACGTGAATTGTCACATCTCCAGAAGAAACCATTAACACTACCCGAGTTCAGCAAAACTTTAGGAACTTCGAGCCTCAAGCAACGAACTTCAGGCAACGAGTATCATTGTGGATAGCCCGGCACTTGATTGAACAGAAACGCATTCCACATTGTATGCATGTGTAGTTTGCAGAAAACCCACAAACTGTGCAAAAATGGCGTCGAGTGACAGGGCTTGGAGGTCCCACAGCTGCTCTGAAGTAGGAGGGCACATGAGGAGGCAATGACTCCAGGTTTGCCTAATTCCAACAACATTCAATCAAAACTGATACTCGAGCCAACTAACATTCGCGAGAAAATAACAGAGAGCAGTGTCTTGCTTTCATAATCTTTACCTCATTTAAGAGCTCAAGGAATGTTCGCGGGGCCTTCTTAGCTACAGTTTCTTTATCCCTTGAGTTTCCTTTATTTGTTCTTGGTGTTGGCTCTTCTGTCTGTTCTTCTTGCTCCAAAATCTCTTCTACTTCAAGAGACATCTCCTCTGTTTGCCACGGGATTATTCACTTGTCTCTCAGGTAATTCCACTCCACTTCTCGTTGTTATAGCCTTTACATGCTCTTTCGGATTGACTTCTGTGTTACTTGGCAGGCTGCCTGGTGCTCTACCTGTTAATGCAACTGCCATCTGTCTCATCTGAGTTTCCAAAATCTTAATGGCTGCATTCTGGTCCTGAAGAGTGGCTTCTGTCTTCTTCATGAATTGGTTGTTCGCCTCCATATATTGGTTAGTCTGTTCCATGAATTTGTCGAACATTTCTTCCAATTGAGGCTTCTTCTCTTGTTGTTGATATTACCCCTGTGGCTTGTTCTGATTTTTGGTTGCTCCAAGAAAAGTTGGGGTGCTTTTTCCAGCTTGGGTTGAAGGTCTCTTCATGCACGTTATTCTGTTGGCGTTGTCCCCATTGAGCAAAATCTGCTTGCTCTTTTCCTTGTGTCAAAATTGGGCATTCTGCTGTCACATGCTCAGCTTCACATTCCTCACAATTTGCCTTCTTTGTCTGCGCTGCGTTAGCTGATTGGGTAATGTTTTCCACCTTGTGAAATAGGGAATCAATCTTAGCAGATAACGCTAAATATACATCCACTTCATAAACTCCTGGTGTCTTCTTTGGTACTGCTCGTTCCATGGTCCACATTGCTGAGGTTGTAGCCATTCTCTCATATAACTTCAATGCTTCATCAATTGTTTTTTGTGGACAATGACCCATTAGCTGAAGAGTCGACCATGCTCTTGAAAGCTGGAAGTAGCCCTGCATAAAAATATTGGACCTGAAGTCCCTTGCTAATCCCGTGGTGCGGACACTTCCTTAGTAGATTTTTGAATCTGTTCCAAGCCTCATCAAAAATTTTAGATTTACCTTGCCTGAAGATAGATATGTCGTGCTTTAGCTTTGCAATCTTGGCCGGTGGGAAAAACTTAGTACAGAACTTCTGAGCTAGGTCATTCTAGGTAGTAATGCTGGCTATCGGCTGAGAATCAAGCCATTCAATCGCCTTGTCCCGCAAAGTATGTGGAAACAGTCTTAATCTTATGGCGATGTCAGAGATTCCTTGATATCTGAAGTGCTGGCACATCTCTAAGAAGCGCGAGACGTGCGTGTGTGGATTCTCTTCAATTCTTCCATAAAACTGATGTCCGTTCTGGAACAGTTGTATCACACTTGTCTTCAATTGGAAATTTGGCTGCCCGAACGGTGGATATACAATGTTAGACTGGCTTTGAATGATTTGAGGGGTCATAAACTCTACAACGAGCATGTTTCCTTCGTCTTCTTCCCCTCTTTCATTGGCTTGTACAACAAGATTGTGTTGTACGTTCTCCATCTGATTTATCGATGCTCTGTTTTCTCTCTGCCTTCTTCTGAAGCTTCGTTCGATCTCTTGATCGGCTGGGAGTAGATCTCCTTCAGCAGATCTTGGCATGCACTTCTGCAATAGAATTCAATTTAAAGACTTAAGTAACTAAAATATGCACTTATGTAATAAAACTAATTAGCAATAAAATAAAATGAACTAAAATAAATTAAAAATAAAAAGTTCGAATCGGTGCTAAATTGAATAAAATTAAACGAATACTCAATCCCCGACAACAGCACCAAAAACTTGTTTGCAAAATAATTCTTTCGATTTAAAACTACCGCAAGTGTACGGTTCGTAACAAGTAATAAAGTGGATTTTAATAAGTCCGAATATCGTCCCTCAGAGATTGAGTAGTTCAATTCTATATAATCTAACCTTAACCGAATCTAATTGAGTGAAAATATGGTCTAATTTCAATTAAAAACCCTAATTTATATTGAAAAACCTAATTTCTCTATTAGAAACTCTAATTTCGAAATTTCTCTAATTAAACGACTCAAACACTCAAGTAAATGAAATTAAGCAAATTTAAAAGCTAATTTATGGAAATGAATCAAACTAAAGTCACTAGGATCACGAATCCCCAATTGAAGTTATAAAAACTTTAATTTCATAAAATTAATGACCCAATGAAAATTTGCCAATTCAATGTTCCTAATTCTATCCAATATATTCTCTCGATATATATTAGACCTATTCTTGTACACCACCAGCCTATATCTCTATGGATTATGCAAATATACAAGAATGCATGTGATTTTGTGAACAATTAAAGAATTGCATAAAGCATAGAGGTATATCTCTATCCCCTATCGAACCCTATGTTAGTTTACACCTTATCGAACCTATTCCACTTCTCTCGAATGTAAGAAATACGTCATCAACACTCACACAATCATTGACCACTAATTGCGGAAGAAAATTAATGCATGTAAACCAATCAAATTGTCCAAACGAGTCTTTCTATTAAATTCATGAAATATGGAATTAAAATAACAAAAAACGGTTCATCGATCACCTAGTAATTGAAAACCTAGCCTAGAAGATTCATAATTACAGAAAAATGAACTTAATAAATAGAAATAATAGCACCCGTATGAAAATTCCTTGAATTCTTGAATAAAACTTTGAAAACCCGCTTGAATCCTTGTGAAATCGACTTCAAGTTCGTGTTTCTTGCCTCCAAAAGTTATATTTTTCTTCTCCTTGGAAGTTCTCCCCCATTTCTGATGAATTTTGGCTTTTATACCATGTCCTCACGGAGTCCCGAAAGAGTTTAAATTAAAAACGGAAGTTCAGAATTTTGTTCGGGTTTTAAAGCCATGCGGCCGCATGGTGTTAAACCATGCGACCGTATGGTTCAAATGATCTCCCCCAATAAAATCCCTGCTGGTTCATGTGCGGCCGCATGGTATAGTTGCATGCGGCCGCAAGGTTGTAACTTTACAACCTTGCTATTTTGGTCCCCGAACTCCGTTTTCTCTTTTCTTGATCTCTTTTCTTTTTTTCCTTTGTTCCATTATCAAATATTGACTCCTAATTGATGTTTGGGTCAATCAATTCCTTGATCACTTGCTCGGCTCATCTTTTGATTAATTGCAATTTAGTCCTTCATCTTTCACTTTTCTTCAATTCAGTCCAATATTACTTCTTTCTTCCTTCGATCGTCTTGTATCGTCCTCAATCTCATACTTTGTATATTTTCATTCTAGTTCTACACTTTAGCTCAACTTTCCAATATTTACACCTTTGGTCCCCGAACTATCGCTTTGTTCATTTTTGGTCCTTTTCGGCTCTTTTCTTCTAAATTCCATCTTTTCCATAGAAACACCTACATTGCATGAATTTAATGAGATTAAGTCACAATTCAACTACTTTATCCATGTTTAAGTCATGTTTGTGAGCTAAATAAATGTGTAAAAACACACTAATCAAATCTCTCAAACTTAAACTATTGTTTATCCTCAAACAATATAGTGACTTAATGCTAAACAAACATGGCTTAATAGCTTGCCGTGTCTCAGGATTGGACTTAGTAATAATAATAGAAACAATATCAAGAGTGCGAGATTTGAATCAACCTTTACTCATCAAATGCACTACTCAACGTGTGTGTGTGAACTCATGTCAACATATCAAGCTTATGATTAGTTTATCCCAGACCCATAGTGGTCAAATTTATCCTTACGTCACTCGAGAGATACACAATCCCCAAATATATTCTTTTCACACAATTTCTCTGGGGCGTATTCTAAGGTTCGGAGTTTAAACAATTCTAATCCTTACCCTCTCTTAGTTTGGATAGATTTTACCATTACAAATTCACATATCAACAAGTAGAGACTCTCCTTATTTTGATTGGTTCAACCTTTGGGATTAAACTAAGCTACTTGCCTCGCATTGAGGTTATAGTTCTATCAACCAAATGTCCAACGAGGGCTTTTATTTTATTTATTTAATTTTATTTATTTTTTTATTTTTTATTTTTTTGTGTCATCTTGTCATTTGCTTTCTATATGACCCATGTAACGAGCTTTAGGCGATGACTCCCAAACTAGTTGGATTTAGGGCATCAGGTTTTAAGCCCTTGCAGTCTTATTCACTCGAGTTATAAAGGCTCGATAAGATGACTTTTTATCAATTCTCCTTTTTCTTGCTTTCTATATGACCCTTGTAATGAGCTTTAGGCCAATGACTCTCAAACCAGTTGGTATTAGGGCATCAGATTTTAAACCCTTACAGACTTACTTGCTCAAGTCGTAAAAGATTTTTGAGAGAAGTGATAATTTTCCACTTTTTACTTTATGCCCCTTCTTTGTTTTTCTAGACATTTGACTTCCAAAACCATCCTCACTTGAAGCTTTAACCTATTTCTCACCTTCCGGGTTTAAACAATCCACACATTATAATTTCATGCACGGAGCCCCCACTTATCTCCATGTTCCTCTACAATGGCTCAATCATTTCCAAACTATCTTAAAGTGGTATTACGGCTTAATGTTATAGAGGGTTATTCTAGGTTTCTCCTAATTTATTCTAAAATTCCAATCAATAACTTAACACGTGAAGCATGAGTGGCGTGCAAAAGAAAGTCAAGCAATGCATCAACAAGTATTAGCAGATTAAATCCTGCACTAAATCCACAGTTTCTAGCTTATACATGTCCAATAATCACATCATAGTCGACAAGGCTACCAAACCCACACAAGCATGCAAACGTTAATCAAGATTCACTCATCAAGCATGCATCATGCAAAAACTTGTCAAAATCAACGATGGATTGTGAATATGCAGAATAATTACATGCCGAATACTTGTTTGAAATTATGCTACCATCCTCCAAACTTATACAATACATTGTCATCAATGAAAAATATAAAATTAAAATGGTAGAATTTAAAACATGGACACAACTTGACAATAAGAGATTAACAAAACTTCCCTGATCAATTCGGTGGCTGTGGTGTGAAGCTGGGACCTGCAGCATCATCTTCAGGAGGAGGTGGGAGGTGAGATAGGACTTGTCTCAGCAGCTCGGACTGCTGTGTTTGCTGGGCCTGAATGGCTTGAAGACTACTTTTCATATTTCCCAAGCGATCCCAAGTTTCGTTCACACG